GAGAGGCCATTGACAGGACAGCCCGCATGTCCATGAGGCGGTCGCAGCGCCTCAGCAGGGTGAATCACCGTCTGAGCGTGGCGAGCACCATGAGCTTCGCCTCGACCATCCAGGATGCGCCGCCGATCCCGACGATTGCCGATAGCTGGCTGACGGCTTCCAACCAAATCGCCAAGGTCCGCGCCCGGGACCCGCGCTTCCAGGGCTACCGAGACTCCGTCGCCTCCTCCGTGCTCGACACCCTGCAAGAGGAATCGTCGCCTATCGAGCCGAATCGGAAGTCCTACGTCTCCTTCGCTGACAGCGGCTCGGATACGGCCGCCCTGAGCATCACGGATCCCGATGGCAACGTTCGACACAGCTACTTCGACGAGGGCACCATCGGCTCTGGTGGCTCCGGGTCTCTAGAGAACGTCAACCAAGCTTTGACAGAAGACGGGGAGGACGCCGACGAAGAGCTCCAGAGCTTCCTGGCCGGCGAGTCCTGGGACGACAGCAAGTGGATGAAGGGCTCCCTGATCGGCCAAGGCTCCTTCGGCAGCGTCTACCTTGCCCTCCACGCCGTCACCGGCGAGCTCCTCGCTGTCAAGCAGGTTGAGACACCGTCGCCGGGCGCTAACAGCCAGAGTGACTCGCGGAAGAAGAGCATGATCGACGCGTTGAAGCGCGAAATCAGCCTCCTCCGAGATCTCCGCCACCCCAATATCGTGCAGTACCTCGGCTGCGGTTCATCGGTCGAATACCTCAACATTTTCCTCGAGTATGTTGCCGGTGGTTCCGTACAGACCATGCTCAACTCGTACGGTGCCCTCCCGGAGCCCCTCATCCGCAGCTTCGTCCGCCAAATTCTCAACGGCCTCTCATACCTCCACAACCGCGACATTATCCACCGCGACATCAAAGGCGCCAACATCCTTGTCGACAACAAGGGCACTATCAAGATTTCCGATTTCGGCATCTCCAAGAAGCTCGAGGCGACCAACATCCTCAACGGCGCCAACAACAACAAGCACCGCCCCTCGCTGCAAGGCTCCGTGTTCTGGATGGCGCCCGAGGTGGTCAAGCAGACGTCATACACCCGCAAGGCCGACATCTGGTCCCTGGGCTGCCTAGTCGTCGAGATGATGACGGGCCAGCACCCGTTCCCTGACTGCACGCAGCTGCAGGCCATCTTCAAGATCGGCGGCGCCAAAGCCACGCCGACCATCCCGGACAACGCGAGCGAGGAGGCCCGGCAGTTCCTGGCCCAGACGTTCGAGATTGACCACAACAAGCGGCCGAGCGCGGATGACCTCATGCTGAGCCCCTTTTTGACGCCGCCGGCGTAGTCATTTTACTCACGGGGGGCTCGCTTGTTGTTTGTTCTCTACTCTTCGATTCGATTCTCTTCATTTATAGCGGACTTTTGCTTTTTATTTACCACATTCACCCAGCCAGAATCGGGTTTTTTATCTTCGGTCTTCGGAATGGCCTTGTTTTGATGTATACCAAGGTGGATTTTACGGGGATAATTTTGATGAATGTCACGAAATACTTGGGGGCCGGGAGGAGGTGGGCGATGAGGGATGATCGGGAAATTGATGGTCGGGGGGGTGTAGAGTCTGGCGACGGCAGGCAGTACACACATGGGCTATATGGTATCTTATCTACCCATCCACATACAGGCACGGCGATCAAAAGAACGTTTTGCAATTCTGCTTCGGTTGTTGGCATGCTGTGATGGTCATTGTTTGCTTTGTGGCTGTTTATTAGCACTGTACTTCAGATAGAGGGCTGCTTCTTCCCCTGGTGTATAAACTTCCCTTATCTCCGATCTCAGTGTTTTTTTTTATTCAGCCCGTAGTTCGCGACACATACTCTGCCGTGTCCCGTTTATCTCACATCCCTGCGCAGGAGGTCGGGAAGGATTGCGGCACGATGCTCCTTGCTTGACACGTGTGACTCGTCGGCATGGTAATCTCTTACACTATGTGCATGCCTGTTCCCTCTGCTGGTATCATTCAGGTTGACAGGGCCTTTTCCCTCAAAAGTCTCGCCAAAGGGGGGGGCAAATGGAACTATCGCTACCGAAGGGCCCGGGAGGGGTTGTTTAGTTTTACACGACGATCTCGCTTCTCCTCTTTCCCATCCTCCCCCTCCCGGTATGTCGTATACAAGTCCTGCATCCATGCGGAGATACCGCCCGACCCCGCGCAGCCAGCATGAGAGTGATATCGCGATCGGCGACCGGTGTACACTACACAGTAGTCGGGGAGGAGGGGGTTTGGCATAGCGGGACAGACCGGTCAAGACTGGGTTGGGATTACCCGGGTCGGTGGTAGATTGGGGTGTTGCTATATATAGATCGGTTTTGGGGAGGTATGGGAGATGGTGGTATTGGGATGGGTCCGTGGTCTTGGAGGGAGGGTGGTATTTTGTCGGGTGCTACCCCCTCTTGACAGCTGGGGCGGGGGTATCTCCGAGCGGGAAATCGAGTTCAGTGTCGAACTGGTGGGAGGAGAGGTGGCTGATTTAGAGTTTAGAGCTAAGACGCAGATTCGCGTTGTCTGTCGTCAGTGGCTTAGTTTTAGCTTTAGAAGAGGGTTGTTTGTGTCGGGGGGGAAATACCTTGAACTCAACTGGATAAGCGTGTGTCACCGTTAACCATAACCTTCGACATGGACGATAATGTGTAGCCAACGGCTGGGGTAAACAACGATACAAAAGGTAAACTTTGTGATTTCGAAGCTTAAAAAAACTAATAGCACAGTATTATTACAGCCTTTGCCGCGTGATTTACGGGTCTACCAAGACCCCTGATACCTTCTCTCCATCCAGTCTGTTACCAGCCCAATGTTCCGTCCGCCTTCCTACCCAAATTAAACTCTTACGACGACGAGCTGCTCTTGTGCAGCTTCGCCTTGATCTTCTCCTTCAGACCAAGCTTTTCCTTGCCACCGTTCTCGCCATGACCGTGACTACCATGACTGCCATGGCTCCCACTGCTGGTATCAGTTCCACGGTGCGTGGTAGCAGGCGGATGCACGCCCTTCTCCTCTAACAAACCTACACGCACACACACCCGGTTAGCCTTCCCCTCCAACAAGCAAAAAAAAATCGGTGCTCAGTGCACGGTGCAAACTCACGATCAGCTTCCCTCCCCGCCCCCGGCCGCGACGCATCAAAATCCCCGCCATCCGCCGCGAGCCCACTCGACTTGACGTACTCCTCCCCCATCCCCTTCCCCTTCCCCTTCTCCCCACCACCAACACCACCACCACCAACCCCCTCCTCCTCCCCTTCCTCCCCCTCACCACCAAGCCCCTTCCCACTATCCCGCCTCTGCTGCTTCCCCTCAGCACCAGCACCAGCAACATCCGCAACATCCGCAGGTCCGCCGCCTCCACTGGCGTCCCGGGCACCTGCGGCGTCGCCGCCGTTCTCGCGCGCGATTTCCTCGAGGGGGCGCGGGCCGGGGCCGTCGAGCTTGACCTCGGGGGTGGCGGGGGCGTCTGTTGTGTCTGTACCGGAGGGCTGGGGTTGGGGTTCCTTGGTGGTGTGTGTTTCGTCGTGGGGGGTGTCGGTGGTGGTGGTGGTGGTGGGGGTCTTGGTGTCGGCGGTGCCGGGGATGTTGCTGGGGGTGTCGGCGGCGGTGGTGGTAGTGGTAGCTGGGGTGGTGGTGGTGGCGGTGGGGGTACGGGCTGTGGATGCGGAGAGGTCCTCGGGGGGAGGGCGCGTGTCGTTCTGGGCTTTGGTCGAGTCCTCGCGCATGCCGATGGCCGAGGGGGCGGAACCGGCGGGGCCGGCGGGGTTGGCGGGTTGGCTTGTGCGTGCTTCCTCTGTTGTTTCGGAGGCGGTGTCCTTGGCTTCGGCGAAGCGTGGTTTGGTGGCGGCTTCGGGCTCGGGCTTGGGCATGGCCTCGGGGACGGTTCTGCCGGTGGTTCGGGTTGCGGTTGTCGGCTCGTTTAGGGCTTCGGTGTCTTTCTTCCCGGAGGCTGCAAGGGCTGCTTCGTTGGGTTCTTTTCAGGGGTTAGTGACGCCATTGGTTGCTTCGGTCTAAGTGACGAGACTTCAGGGGTTCCACTCTGTGACTAGTAAGTATAGTATACATGGTTGGATGAGCTAATGATCAAACTTACCACCAATGTTACCGGCATCGTATGGCTCTCCGGCGGCTACATTGCCAAGCTTGCCTGACACGGGCTCTTCGTGAGACTGTTCCTCGCCCCAGATGGCCTTGGAGGCGGCGTGTGTGACTTTGTTGAAGGTATCCATGGTGGTGTGGTGTTTGTAGGGAATTTGAGGTGTTTACTTTTTGTTTATTCACAGAGTACGCAATGTTTGTTGGAGCATGGAATTGAGTAAATGATAATTGAGTTTTGGTATGCGTACATCAAAGTCTTTATGCTTTCCGAGTCCATCCCCTCCCGGGCTACCTCATTTCTTCAACATGACTTCCAACACCAGGGAGGAGTGACGTATGGTCCCTCAAAGACCTGGTTATCTCCCACCAAGTCGTGTACCCTGCCTCGCCTATCACCCTTGCCAGCCACTGAATTGGATCTGAGATCGAAAGTGTGGCCCAATCTGGACAGCCCTCAGCTGAAAGGTGAAAAGGTGAAAAAGAAGCGGGACGGCATGACGTTGGTGGGGATCGCGGGGTGGCCTTAGGTGACGTCACGCTTGGCGATCCCTTTTTTTGTTTGCGGGGAAGAGCGCCACTCATGTGAGCCTCCGGATTCCCCAAACTCCTGACTAAAAAGCTTGTGTCCCTTGCTTTGCCCGAAATTAGCACGTGTCCAGCGATCAGGTTCCCGTCAGGGTTGCAACTTGGCAATTGCTCGTCACTCCCATGTCAAACAAAGGCTGTGATGTCGGTTTGTTGGTTCAACACTTCAGGTTGGGACAACGACTTGGAAGAGGAGTTTGAGAAAGATACGGCGAACCCCGCACAACCAAGGGCCAAATGGGGGGGGGGCCAATTCCCCACTCAGGCCAAATGGAAAAATAACGAAAAAGAAAGGTCGTGCCCGGAATCGAACCGGGGTTGCCGGAATGTTCTGAAGAGATCAGAATCCGGAGTGATAACCGCTACACTACACAACCGTTGTTTGACCAACAGCTGATTGCTGAGCGAGTGGCTGCAGCCACATACTTATAAAGACAGCCACAACAGCTAGTACAACCCCTAACAACCATGAAGCCCGTATAGATTCCTAACACTGTCACGTAGTTAGTCCGTGATTCTAAGTCATAGTTATTTCTTATTTTTAAAAAATTGAACGTTGCTACGGAAATATAACTTTTTACAGACTAAAAACATACTGAAGTTTCATTTGAATTGCTAGCACAGCAGACAAACACAGAACTGCAAGTTGAACTGGAGTAAAAGTTGACCGATTTCCCATCTATCTCAGACTATCTATACACTCACTACTTCCACTTCACCAAGTGCCCTCCACATCCTCGCCATCTGTCCAATCTCTGATTTAACATCGCTTACACCGGCGGCAGGCTGTAGTTGGAGCAGTAGATGACGTTGCGGTCCTGCTTGGTGATGTGGTACGGGAACTTCAATTCCTTGCACTTCTCCCAGGCCTGGGCAAAGAGCGACTTGTAGCCGGCCGTGCGTGGGTCGCCGGCGATATTGATGGTGAAGGTGGTGCTGCCATTGTGGCCGGCCGCCGTGCTGTAGGCGTAGATGCTCTTGTTGTTGGCGAGGAACGTGTTGGTGTCCTCGGCGCAGACTCGGCAGGCGCCAACCTGGATGGCCATGGTTTCTGTTTCGGTTTAGGGGTGGTGAGGGCGTTGGGGACTGATGTGGTGGGTTGGTTAACTTGCTTTGTGATCTGAGTGAGGCAAGGTGGTGGGCTTGCTTGATTGTCTACAAAACATGATGGGTTTGAATGGGTTTCTATACTACCTGTGAGCCAAGGGAGAGTGGATAAATCCCATCTTTTAAGACCATCCAACCATAGAGTGAATTACGCCACAGTTACTTGGCCCTGCCCGCGGCCACTGCGGCATAGCCCCTTCGCCAGGCACCTCGAATGTCTCCACGGTGGTCGAGAGTGAAACAGGGAGAGCCCCGCCGGAACTTTGTAGGCCGCAGTATAAAGAAAGAGAAACACCAGGAGAGACAACCGCCTACTTGAAGCACAGCGGGGCCGCGGGGCCGTGGGGTATTTGCGGCGCAGAAATGTGGCTTCTACTTAGACGGTTAGACCTTTGCTTCCTCTAGGCTCTAGGCATCAAAGCATTGACACCGAGGTAACGTAACTGTCAGATAGTGGGGCCATGCGTTTCGAGTTCAAGACTTCAGGTTAAGGTACATGCCCGCTGTGGTGTTGAAGCAGACTGGACATGCAACAAACCTAGGTCCAGATTACAGCCCTGAGTTCAACAACAAAACAGTCCATCGTGGGGCGCAAAATATATGGGGAGATTCCTCTTGAAGACTATGAGTTTCTTTTTTTTTTTTTTTTTTGTTTCAGAAGTGGTCCCTCGGGCCGTTGGACCCTGTCTCTTGAATTCTGGTCCGATACCCCTGTCTAAACTGGAGTTTCCCGTATGGCACAGGCAAAGTACCTGTCTACGATTTCCGGGGGATAAGTAGAAAATTAAGAGGTGAAACATATGTCCACAAACGCAGACCGAGATGAGGATATTGGGGATAGTCCGGATGAAGAGGATCGTTATTGTGAGTACTAATTGGGGCCGTGGGATGAGGTGGGATCCTTCAACTGGCTTGGGCCGCTCGTTGTTTGGGGTCTCTAGAAAAGGTCAAAAGGAACGGCACATGCGGCGACGAGGGGTTTTTGAATCACCAACTGATCCAACTAACTCCTTTGCACTAGCGGGTGGACCCGTAGACCAGATATTACCTGCCTATCTAGGTAAGTAGGCAGGCTTCGGATGGAACACAATCTAAATCATCGAAGGTCATGCCCAAGTTACAGCTCAAATCACCTCCAATCCATATCTATGTTCCCGCGGTCTCTGCATGGAAGGTACGAGCCAACAAAAAGTGAACAACACACACTACGACAAAAATACCATGACATGATGACTCTCGGACTCTCGCCCCAAGGACCAAGGTCCACATTACTACTGATTGGGAGTCCGAACCGGCGCAAAACGCGCCAAACGGCTTTTAAACTAACGCAACCAATCTTGGGCCTGAAATGTGATGTCGCGATGCGGGTACTTTGTAGCGTGAGAACCCTGATGGTTCGATCGGCTAGCCAGACCATCAAGGTTCTCAGTGCCGTCTTTGCATATATGCCCTCAGCTCGCCCAGCAGGCGAAACCTGGCTTAGATTTTCTCGTCGTTTTTCTTGAGGTGTTTTACCCAAGAAAACACCAAGAAAGAAGCCGAACTCGGTTGTTGCTCTCCACCCCAAACGTCTCCTCTCCCGCCGGATTCCCCCCCTCCTTCCCCCCCCAAGCCCAACCCCGCTTCCATCTTCGACATGTGGCTGCCGCCCGCCCAACAGGCAGGCGCGTTTCGCGCTCTTATCACCGCAGCACTCTTTCTCAGCCGGGAGACTGACAGGATTTAGTCACCTCAACCCCACCCCACGGCCAATCGCGCTGCAGGTCCCCACGAACCCGTGACAGAATCCTCCGAACCGATTCGTCGCCGATACGCCAAAGACCCGAAAAAGGGTGTGGAACGGGACGTCATTCGGCATCCACGGTTCTCGTAACATCCACTTGGACTGAAGATCTGGCATGTTGGATTGAGGCGCGAGTACAACGGCACGTAGACGCGGGGAAGAGGAAGAAGAGGAGGAAGAGGAGCAAGAGGAGCAAGAGGAGGGAGGGGTAGCTGGGCCAAGGCAGGCTGGTGCAACGACGGTGTCGTGTATTTAATGACACCCGTGGCCCCTCCTTCTTGGGTTTGCGAGATTATTCTTCCCGACAACGTAGAACTGTCTTCGAACCACTGCTTTTTGCCTCAAATAAAAAATCAATCACCTCGGTATCTCGGTTCGCAAAGCTCTTGTTCAAAATGGCCAATACCTGGTAAGCCTACCAGTGTCCGCCCCGGGACTGAATAGCCCTCCTCGGCCGTATCCCAAATGATACTGACTGCCGGCCTGTAGCTCATGCAAATCCTGCAACTGCTCTGGCTCTTGCGACAGCTGCTCTTGCTCTAGCTGCGGCGTAAGTTGACCATGTCCCACCCTCACTACTACCGAGGCTTTTTGGTTTGCTAGGTACTGACGTTTTTAGCACTAAATATGCTGCTACAAGCGCAATTGGATGGAGGAGGAAGGGAGATTGACAAGATGGTGGGCATGATTTAGCACTCTTAGGCCAGGGGTAGCTTGACATGCGCCTGCTGCGCATACTGAATTAGTCGCTCTTTAACTAGCAACCAATATCTCATTTCCATGGATTGGACGTGCCCCAAATATTGAGAGTAACTGATAGGTCTACAGTCCGACCTGTATCGAACTACCTAGGTAAAAGAGAGTGAGTGACTGTTATAGTAGTATACCCCACGGGGCCCGGGCTGATCATGCCGAAGCCTCGACGAGGCTCCTGAACATGTTTCCTGCACCCGACGTGTACCCCGCGAGCCCTTCATCCTCCTCGGGCTGGTACATGCCACCCTGGCCGCCATAGAAGAGGCCGTGCCCTTTACACACGACCTCCTCGACCCCCCACGCGATCCTCTCCGCCGCCAGCCTCGCGCCCCCGAGGTTAGGAGCCGACGGGCCTAGCTTCAGCGCCGCCAGCCGCCCGGCCACAAACAACGGGACGCCATCCTCCCACATCAGATCGTCGTTCAGACAGGGAAAGCCCCCGTGGCCCTCGATAGGGTGGCTCTCTAGCATAGTCCGCAGGAACGGCAACTTGGCAAAGTCCGACTCCACCCCCGTCGCAAAATAGATGTGATCCATCGCCGGCAGCCCACCACCACCCTCTTCCACAACCAAACTATCCGTCTTGACATACCACACCCCCTCCCCCCCTCGAACCCCATCAGCATCCTCAAACCACCCCCCCACCACCCGCACTCCCTCCAACAACCTCACCCTCCCCGTACTCACATGCCCCCTCAACAACCGACCATAAGTCGGCGTGACGCTGCCGCCGCCGCGCGCCGCGCGCAGCAGGGCCAGCCGCTCGGCGTCGCCGCCCGAGGCTTGCCAGAATCGCGCCTGTTCGGTGTTGCGGAACTTGCCCATCCAGGAGAGGTCGACGTCGAAGGGTTTGGTGCGGAGGGGGGCGCGGGTGGTGTCTGGTTTTTGCGGAGGGGGGTTAGTTGGGGGGTGGGTATGGGAGTGGGATGGGAGTTGGTTTAAGGGGTTGGATAGGGGGGTTGGGGGAGGGGTTGGGGAAGGGGTTGGGGAAGGGATTGAATAGGGGAGGGGACGGGGATGGGGGAGGGGACGGGGATGGGGGCAGTCATTTCATTGGGGAGGACGGAGGCAAGGCTGGGAATTGCGGTAGGTCATGGCACTGGACTCATCTTGTCGGGAGTATTGTGGGAGGAAGTCGCGCGGTTTGGGGGAAGAAGCAAATAAACGTAAACTTGACTCACGCCAGATAGTCCCCACGCCGTGGCGCACCGCTAGGTCGGCTAGTTGTGCCGAGGTCAGCCCGCCCCCTACAATCAGTATGTTTGTGGGGCGGCCCGCCGCGATCTTCTTCCTGACGGACTCCGAGGGGAACCTTTTCAGCTGCATCGCGTGGCTGACTTGTGGAGGGGTCCAGTCGGAAACATGGATGTTGGTGACCGGGTTCGGGGTGCTGATGCCCGGGATGGGAGGGATACACGGCTGGTTGCCGGGGCCGACGGCGACGACCACGATGGGCGCGTAGCGGATGCCGTGGTTCGTTCGGACGGTGAACATCTTCTCGCCCGCCACCGATATCCCGGGGACTGGCGTGTAGGCGATGTCGAGGACCCGCTCCTTGCGGATGAGCGTCGACGCGTTGAGACCGTAGCGGCTGACGACGTCGTTGCAGTGGTCACGGAACAGCGCCTGGGTTGGGTTGAAGTAGTCGTTTCGGTCGCGCTCGTTGATGTGGACTCGGGATTCACCTCTGTTTAACAACGGTAAGCGTCCCTCTGTGGTTGCCAATAATAG